AGGGTTGTGGGGTAGAGGTCCTTGTCCCCATCAACATGGGGACAATGTGCTTTGGGGGGGAGCCCCCCTTGCCCAAAAGCACCCACCCATGTCGAGGGCATGTGGCCTGGAATAGTACAGGGGGGGTGCTTGCCCATCCCCTTCCCTGACCTGCCGGGCTGCATGCTCAGATAAGGGTCTGGTATGGATTTTGGGGGGGACCCCCACGCCTTTTTGTTTTTACATTTTGGTGTGGGGGTTCCTCTCAAAGTCCATACCAGACCCGAAGGGCTTGGTATGGATGGGAGGGGGGACCCCCCTCAATTTTGAAAGAAAACATTTAATTGTCAGGTAATGCCAACGATTCTTTTGACATCCAGCTGTCAGCGGGGAACCCCGCTGACAGCTGAAACATTAAAGAATTTTTTAACTACTATATTCAATACTGCATGACTTAATAATATAATTCATGCAGTATTTTAGTAGCTGAGTGGTATCTTACCACATACTCAGATGCAGCAAGATACCGCTCAGTATATTGTTCCTGTTCGAAGTTTGCGGTCCATCTTTCGGTAGGTTTGAATATTCGACCGTGAATCGAACAGGGGGATGTTCGGCGCATCACTACCTAATACCAACTATTTTTAAAAATCTTCCCTCCCCCCTCCTCCTACCTATCCTGTATGCCCTGTATAAAAATTAAATCTATGTACTTACCTTTTTTAATCCAATCTGGTCTGGTCACATGATTCAGCCTATAAGCTAAAATTTAGATTTGAGTCTAAACCACTGTGTTCAGATTGCTTTTCAGAGGCATTTGACAGGCAGTGAGGAGGCAATGTGATGCCTCCTCTCAGCCTGTTTTAACTCCACAAGTGCTGCACCAATGCACTGCAACCACATGCAGTGCATGCGGTTGCAGGGTGCATGCAGCACTTCCCAATTCACTAGGCTAGGTCATGTCCGGTGGGCTTGCTTGCCTAAAAATTCACAGAACTGATATTTTTTGCCATGGATGCTAAGCATTGTAACCGCGGCATGTGAACACCCCTATTCATTCCCTTTGCAGCAGGCAGGATGGTAACATCATGGTCTCTTTCCCATCCAATCAGAAAATGCGTTGTATTCAATGAAGACAATACCAGGGCATGCTGTGAGTGGTGACAGTGCTGAGTGAGCTCCCTCCTGTGGTTACTATGCAGAAAGATAGCCGCTCAGCACAGGGTGCGTAGACAGCGTGGGTCAGTGTAGTGGAGGATCACACCTAAACTTCAGCTTTAATCCCTACACATCATATATTTTCTGAAACCAGGGACCTGTGGAAAAAAGTTAATGGTGAATATTGGATGATAGATGCAATTGCTCATACAAACACAATATACTACCCATACCATGTTAAAACATCACATCAAGTACATAGCCAAACATATTCAAATTGTGCATGCCTGTGAAACAGTGACAAACTTTGTAACCAAAACTGTCCATAGACAACGCTTTAAAAGTCCTTACTGGTCCTCTGTTTAGAGTTAATGGTGAATATTGGATGTAGATCAATTGCTCTCACTCAGACATGCACAGCGATACGTAACATGTGACACGCAAGTGCAATAGCTTTTTTTCATATGTAGACGCTCTCAATGCATTTGTGTGTTTATATATGTGTGTGCATGTAAGTGGGGGATCTTTAATTTTTTTTTTTGTGTGTGTGTTTTCCTGTTTTTTTTACTTATTACTTTAGTGTTCACTTATATCCTTAAGTGTATATAGTCAAAATGTAAAATGATATATTCATTTCCACATTGTATTTCAATCCTATCCTATATACAGTATGTATCCTACTCCTGTTAATCTTTGTGAAGATCCTCACACATTTACTGTGACACGTATTAACTATGCCCCCGTGTAGGCACTGCTGTGTCACACATTTCACAGATCCTGCTTTCTGAACTACAGAGGTGCTGAGAGGAGGAGTTTCAGGAGGCGGAGTCAGTAGAGTAATGACAGCTTTCAGGCAGCAAGGTAACATGGGATATGTAGTCCTTAGAAATTGAAAGTAAAGGGAGGAGAAGCTGCAAAACATACAGGGAATCCAGGAAGTTGTGGAAAGAAATGGCCAGCAGGCAGGCAGCACTTAGATTTTTTTAAGTGAGCTTATATTGGATTGTCAATAATATCTATTGTTTGTATTGTTATTACAATAATGATGTTATCACATGAAAGTCTATGCTGTGACCACAGAACTCTTTTGATCACTAGCGCCAAATTGTCCGCCACATTATCACAGTCCCACTATAAATTGCTGATTACCACCATTACTAGTATAACGTCAAAGCTGCGGAAATTCCAGTATATACTGTATACCATAGTTTGTAGACGCTATAATTTTCATACCAATCAATCAATATACACGTATTAGGATTTTTTTTTTTTTTTACCAAAGACATGTAGCACATTACATTTCAGCCTAAACGTATGAAGACATTTTTTTTAGGTTTTTTTTTGTAGGATATGTTTTATAACAGAAAGTAGAAAATACTTTTTTTTTTCAAAATTTTCAGTATTTTTTCAGTTATATTCCAAAAAAATAAAGTGGTGATCAAATACCACCAACAGAAATCTCTATTTGTGTGAAAAAAATGATAGAATTTTCATTTGGATACGGTGTTGCATGACCGATCATAAGTTACAATATTGCAGTCAGATCACTGGTGAAGAGGAGACTGAGGAAATGATTCCTCATGCCTGCAGCAGACTGATGACATCGTCTCAGCCTTGGCACAGTCACCAGACTGGAGTACAAAGATAGATATTTAATCATAAAAGTTGAACAAATTGAAGGAAAATATAGATATTGGGATGTAAATATATTAATTTATTGTGACAGTGAAATGTATTCAAGGAGATTCGTTGAAATGTTACCAAAAAGTTCACTTTAAAGTGGAAATGCACTGCATCTGAGCACCACAAACCAATAATGCTATTTAATTCATTGTTAATATTCAAAGCTAACCCACCCATCCATCCATGTCCCTATGCTTTATTTTGCTGAGAAATAATTTTGAAAAATTTCCCTAGCATTGCTGGCAGTGGCCATTTTGAATAAGGGCAGATGATTCATGTAACATTTACTTCCTGGAATCCATCTGCCCTTAGCTCAGGCATTGGCTGAGCTGAGGATCCTCCCTCCCCTCCTGAAGACTCCTGGGATGTATGACATCATTTGCCTAGCAGGAAACCAGGAAGTAACTGAAGAAATGTAAATAAAATTTTCAAAACAAGTAAATATATACTTTCCTATCTATTTACTAGATAGGAAAGTCATACCATACACATGACAGGCACATGCAATAGAGTATCCCTCCCAGCGAAGAGAGCTTCAAACACAGGACTGTTTTTTCTGCCACGCTCCCATGCTAACCACATACATGGATGCAGGCCATAGGCCACTTTCTTCAGCTTATCCTCCTGGTCACAGTTCTTTAACCCCTTCATACCCAGAGCACATCCATGCATGGGCCTATGTTTTACTCATGGTCCACACAAGAGCTCCCAAAGTCAGTCTGAACACTCAGGTGCCAAGAAACATGGGGGACCAAGTCACCTGGTGTGTGTTACCTGAGGTGGGTTGTCTCTCACTGCCAGGAGGGTGATTTTGTTCCTCCTTAACCACTTCCCGTCTGGCCCATGTACATAAACGGCCGGACGGGAGCAGTGGTGGAGCAGATGGCTGTTTATAAACGGCCTCCGCATTCACTGCCTGTGCGCGCTCCCTAGGAGCGTGCGGCACCACAATCCGGTACACCGATCGCTGGACGGGATCTCTGTGTGAGGTCCCGATTCATGTGATCCCTGATTGGCCAATCAGTGATCACAGGAACAGTAGTAAACAAGATGTCACTTCCTGACATCATTGCTTACTACTAGTGAAATCTGTGAATGATCACAGAGGTCACATGGTACAGGGCTATTCACAACAGCCTTGTACCATGTGACAAGCTGTGACCAATCACCGCTTGCAGAGTATTTGTCAATGGCTGCAAGAATGCAGCCAGAGAGAAGGAGAAATGATTGTTTTTACAGCCTTTATGGGTGTAAAAGCAATCAGTGTAAAAAAAAAGAAAAAAAAAAATCTTCATCACCCCCCACAAGTAGTACAGTGTCACTATGGTGACACTGTACTGCTAGGGTGATGGTATGTTAAAAAAAAAAACAAAAACAGAAAAATACATAAATAATAATATAAAAAATTTTTTATAAAAATGTAAAAACATTCTTGGAAAAATTATCATTTTTGGTTATAAACTAATTTGGGTTATTTTTTTTTTACTAAAAAGATAGATGAATACATTTTGGACAAGATTTGTGAAGAAAGATTATTTATTTGCTAAATTTTATAAGAAAAAAACACTTTTTTTTTCAAAATGTTTGGATTTTTTCATTTATATACCAAAAAAATAAAAATCCCAGTGGTGAATAAATACCACCAAAATAAAGTTTTATCTGTCTCAAACAAATGCTAAAAAATTCATATGGGTACAGTGTTGCATGACCGCACAATTGTCATTTAAAGTGTGATAGCATTGAAAGCTGAAAATTGGCCTGGACAGGAAGGGGGTAAAATTGTCCGGACTTGAAGTGGTTAAATGACTTCAATTCTCCACCTTCAGAAATGCAGTACTTCACTTCACAGAGACCAGGAATTCATTTGGTTTAACTTTACTGAAACTTGTAAAAAGTAGGTTATAAACATCGAATGTGTGATAAACTTTCAATATACAACCCCAATTCCAAAAAGTTGGGACACTGTGTAAAATCTACAGGTCATTTTGAAACTGATGCAGCAACAGGTCTCAAAAAAGTTGGGACAGGACCGTGTTTACCATGGTGTAGCATCCTCTCTGCTTTTACCAACATTCTGTAAATGTCTGAGAAATTAGGAAATCAGTTTGCTGGAGTATTTGGAGAGGAATGTTGTCCCATTCTTTTCTGATATAGGAATCTAACTGCTCAACAGTCCTGGGCAGGGGCAGACTGACCATTTGGAAACTCGGGCACTGCCCGAGGGCCCGGGGTCAGTAGGGGGCCCCATGAGATGCCCCTGGTACCTTTTTCATAGGCGTTTTTGAGTTTGGGCAAGGACACAGGGGCCCCATGATCCCCTATTGCCCGGGGACCCCATGAGTTGTCAGTCTGCCCCTAGTCCTGGGTTTCCTTTGTCGTATTTTTCATTTCAAGATGTGCCAAATATTTTCAATTGGTAAAAGGTCTGGACTGCAGGTAAGCCAGTTAAGCACCAAGACTCTTCTATTATGAAGCTATGCTGTTGGAATAGATGCTGTTTTTATGTTGATTTTACAGTGTCCCAACTTTTTGGGAATTGGGGTTGTAAAAAACTAGAACAGTCCAGACATTGGTTATAAAAGAGGCAACGCTTTCTGTGGCATAATTTAGTCCTTGAGTGGTTCTTTAAATTAAAGGTTTACAGTTCCAGGAGGGGTGCTGTGGTATACTGCGTGTTCGGGGCATGCTAAGTCCCAATAAGCCATAGGACTCCACTGCCATAGGACTCCATAGGACACAAGCCATAGGACTCCACTGTGCTGTGGTATACTGCATGTTCGGGGCATGCTAAGTCCCAATAAGCCATAGGGCTCCACTGCCATAGGACTCCATAGGACACAAGCCATAGGACTCCACTGTGCTGTGGTATACTGCATGTTCGGGGCATGCTAAGTCCCAGTAAGCCATAGGACTCCACTGCTATAGGACTCTGTAGGACTCAAGCCATAGGACTCCACTGTGCTGTGGTATACTGCGTGTTCGGGGCATGCTAAGTCCCAATAAGCCATAGGACTCCACTGGTCCCTTCTCTGGCATCCCCCAAGTTGCAGGGGCGCCATCGGGCAGTCAGAAATGAACTCTCCTCACGCTGCCAACATTTTCTAAACGGCCCCAGGGAGACGCCTCCCAAACCTTTTATATGTTCCTACCCAGAGAAAGCAACTCATAACACGGAGTGTCCTAACAATTAAAGGTGAACACAGTTCCACCTGCCTACAGACAAAAATTTTAATTCACTAGAAATGTTAAATCTATCCCACTCTATGCTAAACAAAAATAAACCGGATGGGATTAGGCTTTAATGTTTTATCACAAACTTACTTTTTCATCATTAAACATTTATGCCACTTTCAGGATCTGTATCATTTACTGCAAGCATCTCTGGCCTGGGACTTGTGAGATTAATTAGTGACAGCTTCGTATGGGTTTGAACCTAATTACCAGTGCCATGAGATTCCTGTGAAATGCAGGAAGTAATTATGATATGGTTACCATAGATAGAAAAGGTGTCAAAGGTAGACATGTATTATTCTTTTGAATTTTCCTAACTGTTAATTGTATTATAGGAGTGCAGCTTTGGAAAAATAGTGGGAATGCATTGTTCTAGATCCATTGTTTCTCCCTGGAGGATGTATATTATGCTTCAGCTGTTATGAAAACGGGTAATATTTTTTTTTTTAAAAGGCACTGATTCCGTCTTTGTTATCTTGCTTTCCGAGAGTGATGGCAGATTATTGCCTTTTCTGCACTGCTGCATTAATATATGGGGGAGGAGTGGCAAATACAAGTTTGCACCTGTTCAAATCCAACTAATGATACAATAAACCTACCCAAGTTGAAGCAATTAACTATTCCATTGTCACAAAGGCACATCATGCCCCCACTTCCCTATCATGCTCGTTTTATTGTATATCCAGTAAATCTGTTCATTTACATGCTGGGATTAGAAGAGTTTTTGCTGTAATTCTGTGCCGCTTGGGAGTAATCCATGTAGGTCCTATATACCCCAATGCTATGGTCATGTCTCTGCCTCCCTCTCCTGGTGATTCACATAATGAAGCCTGGGGTTGTATTTTTTGTGAATGGTCTGGAGGAGTAGGAGACACAACCACAGCAGGGTCTATGTATGGGTCTAAAACTCCACTGTCTTTTAATTGCTTTAGAACCTTTAGGCCGCTTCACATTTCACATAGTGGGAGTACGCTTTCCTGCAATTTTTTTTTTGAGCGATTCACATGCATTTCTGCGTGTTACACATAGGGCAACTCATTCACTTGAATGGGGTGCCCTATGCACATTTGTTGCTGCAAAACAGCTGAAGGACCAAATTTTGGCCCTGAGCCAGGCGCCTTCCTTCACACGCTTTTTGAATGATTCTCACAAGTTTTGTTGCATGACAAATATGGGGTGAATGGCACCCAAAGTGCCACGATTTTAGCTTAATTTGGAATTGCGGGCAGGATTCCAAATCACTAAATGTGAACAGGGCCATACATCTGACACACTTGCAGATGTGTCTCATCTATGGACATTGACTCAGTGGTTTCTTCTGCCTAGCTCAACTACAATACTTTGGCTTGCAGTCATATAGGGGCCATAAAGCAGAACTAGCAGTGTGAGGGGTTGAATGCTGAAGATGCTGACAGAGGCTGCAGCACTAAAAGACAGTAGAGTTTGAACTCACCATGTGCCAGAGAGGTGTTTTTGGGATTTTTTTCTATTAATGTGAAAAGTCAACAAGAAACGGAAGCTTTGAAACATGTTACTGCCCACTCTACGGAGTGACGTCTCCTTGGTGTCATCACTTCCGGTGCAACTCCATCTTGCGTTCCACACTGGTTCCAGCGGTTTTAGGCCGCTCGTCACTGCTTCCCTCCTGGACTTGGAGTACAGCAGGCCACGAAACAACAGCCGGATCACCCTGGGGAACCTCCTCAGATGTTGTTAATGCCCATTCTATTTGCTCAATAGTGAGTTCCCAATTTGCTATATTTTCATAAATGGAATTGTCCCATACTGCACTTAGTCTGGAGCCCCTCTGTGTTTTCTTAACACGTTATATAAACATCCAATACATGCAGAAGTGTCAGACTGTAGTTATGCAAGAAAGTGAAGATCCAGGGAATGGCCGAATTGGGTGACAACTCTGTCTGTCACCCAAAAAGACCAAACATTTTGAAAAAAAATGCGTTTTTCTTTGTTTCTGTTTTAACCTTTTGCAAATAAATAGTCTTTCTATATAAATTTAGACCAAAATCTATTCTGCTACATGTGTTTGGTGAAAATAACCCAAATCAGTGTTTTTTATTTAGTTGGTATGAAAGTTATAGAGTCCACAAACTATGGTATATATCTAAAAATTGATAAACCTTGATGTACTGATGGCTGATCTAATTTCTTGAGGTCCAAAAATGCCAGGACAATATAGATACCCTCAAAATGACTGCTTTTCAGAAAGTAGATAGTCTGAGGTATTTAGTAAGAGGCATGGCAAATTTTTTTAAGTTGTTTTTTTTGTCATAATTTTCTGGTAAATGAAGAAATGAAAAAAAAAAACATTTTAACAAATTTTTTTTTTAACCGTTTCAATACCGTGCAATTTTACACCTTCCTGCCCAGGCCAGTTTTCAGGTTTCAGCGCTCTCACACTTTGAATGACAATTGCGCGGTCATACAACATTGTACCCAAACTAAAATTTGATCATTTTCTTCACACAACTAGAGCTTTCTTTTGCTGGTATTTAATCACCGCTGGGGTTTTTATTTTTTGCTAAATTAGCAAAAAAAGACCAAAAATTTTGAAAAAAAACACATTTTTCTTTGTTTCTGTTATAAAAGTTTACAAATAAATAATTGTTCTTCATAAATTTAGGCCGAGATGTATTCTGCTACATGTCTTTGGTGAAAATAACCCAAATTAGGATGTATTTTTTAGTTTGTAGGACAGTTATAGAGTTCACAAACTATGGTATAGATCTGAATATTGATCAATCCTGAAGTACTGACAGCCAATCTAATATCTTGAGGTCCAAGAATGTCAGAACAGTACATATATCCCCTAAATGACCCCTTTTTGCAGAGTAGACAGTCCGACGTACTTCATAAGAGGCATGGCGAGTTTTTTGAAGTTGTATTTTTTGTCATAATTTTTCGGAAAATGAAAAAATTAAAAAAATTATTTTCACTATTTATTTTTTTTACATACTGTCACCAGTGCAGTACAGCGTCATCATATAACTGGCATGGCGGTGAACAGCGACACTGACTGGTGACAGTATGAAAAAAAAAAAATATATTTTTTTTATTTTTTTAAATTTTTTTTATTATATTTAATTTTTTATTACATTTTTTTTTATTTTTTTTAAGATTTTTTTTTCATATTTTACTATGACCAAAATAGTACAATGTTACCATGTTAACACTGTACTACTTTAGGGAAGTGATCTGTATTTTTTTTTTTTTTTTTTTTACACAATTTGCTTATAGCAAAGAATTACTTTGCTATAAGCAAGCATTTACCTGAATGAAATCGATTCATTCAGCTTTTTTTTTTTTTTTTGTGCTTAGCTGTGATTTGGTCACAGCTAATCACATGACATGTGCATGTGATTAGCTGTGACCATTCACAGCTAGGCACTAGTATACAATGGATGGCATCATGAATGAAGCCATCCATTGTATACAACTGTCATGTGACCTGCTGTGATTGGTCACAGCAGGTCACATGGTACCGGCAACGGGAGCCGCTACTCGGATCTGTCATCGGCCGTGTCCGAGGTGCACGGGCGGTGACAGATCGCACTGCTGCGTCGCTCTGCAACCGCGCAAACCGCGCATGTGCGGGAGCACGCCAAATGGCGTGCACCCGGAAAGCTGCAGCGCTTTTCAAGCCGCCAAACGGCCATTGGCCGGGCGGCTAATGCTTAAACATACTGTCACCAATACAGTACAGCATCATTGTATAACTGGTGCGGCGGTGATCAGGGACACTGACTGGCAATAGAATATATAATAAAATAATTTTTACATCTTTTTAAAGAATGTAAAAAATTTTTATTACATTTTTTATGATTTTTTTTTTTCTACTCCTGTGACAAGAGCAATATAATGCTACCATAGTAACATTGTACTACTCTGGGCAAGTGCAAGTGATCAGGATTTTTCTTCTCTTTTTTTGTACACATTATGATTGCTTATACAAATGAATTTCATTGTTATAAGCTATCATTTTTAGTGAATGAAACTGATTCATTCAATAGTTTTGTTGTGATCAGCTGTGATTGGCCATAGCTGATCACATGCTGCAGATGGGCTGTGATTGGTCCAGTCTGTACATGTGACCACTGTGACCAATCACA